CCAGACACTCATAAATCGGATTCTCTCCTGCAGCTCGTCTCTCTGCGTTAGAGATTCGACGAGAGCAGTCTTCTCGCCATTCTTCAGCTTCTTCACATCTTCAGTGAGGTTCGACAGCCATGCGTTGCCCCCTGCCTTCGCCAGGAAGAGCTGCAGCTTGCTGGCTGCGAAGTCGTACTTCTGTTTCCGCGCAATTTCATCCTTCAAGTCATCCACGGTTTTGCCTTCGTTTACTTCCACGGAGAACGCGCTTCCCGCCACACCAACGATACAACAGAAAAGCTTCACCATCTTTCCTTGAGGCGGTGATTTTTAGAATGAGGGGAGAATTTCTGGCGTACTTAAGCGGACATGAAGGCAATTTTCAACCAATGATGAGACGCCACGTCCCAACCTTGAGGTACAAATCTGTTCTTTTGCATCTACTGTACGCAGCTGAACTGCAGCAAATCCGATTACGATTGTAACGATTTGCGTGCAAGGAAAAAATGTTTCGGTTACGTACGAAGAACGTAACCGGATTTTCCAAACCGCAGCGAACGGCGAATCCAGACCATTCACCGATTTGCCGCCCAGAGCTCAGAGCACCGGACGACCAAGTAGCGCAGAGCTACCGAGAAGAAGCAACCAGGCTGCCAGAAAAATTTTCATGCACGTCATCCCCTCTGCACCAGCCGCGGACGTCGTACTTGTAACGGGGACCCATGGTGTGGAGCACACAGGGGTACGAAGTACCCGGAGAGTTAACAAACTCTCAGTACATAAGTTGGAGAGTTAACATGGTCTCTCAGTACGTTGGCTGAAAGCCACACGTTATGCATTTGATTAGGTTTAACTATGCTAGATAGTTAAAGAGATACATTTACCCCTAGGCGGCTTGGCCGCAATAATAGTAAATAAAACACTTCTGGTTTTGAAGCATAAAAGTTAAGGTGTTAACTTTGAGCCCTGGTCTTGGGCTGTAAGTGTCCTTTGGATAAGGAACTTAGTATTAGTGACTCTTTGAGTCGAACGTCTTCCTCTGACGCTAAAGCTACGGCAGCCCCGCTGCAATCTGGATCTGGAGTTTGGGCTCTTTCTTAGGAGTGATCCTAGTCAGCGCCTCATCCATCTTAGCTTGAGGAGTGATGCTCGCGGCCAAGACTCCCAGGATCTCGTCTTCCCCTTTCGAACATTTCACAATCTCCAGTGTCCACGGCGAGAGTAGAGCTGCCCACTGTCCCAAACGTCCTTGTAACCCGGCCGAATTGAACAGCCAGGCTAGCGTAGAGTGTCGAGTCAGGATCCGGATGGATCTTCCCACTAGCAGGTTGTAATTCAGATCCAACACGCGCAGGAGCGCCAGTATCACTTTCTCCAACGCTCCGTAGTTCAGTTCATTCACCTTTAGCGTTCGGCTGACGAAGGTGACTGGATGACAGATCCCCTCATGTTCTTGTACCAGAGCTGCTGAGACTGCCCAGTCACTGGCATAAACTATCACCGTAGGTTGGCGTTCCGGGTCGAAATGACGGAGGATAGGTGTGGTCGCGATTCTGTTCCTTAGCTCCACGAATGCGTGTTGAGCTCGGATCCACCGAGGTTCCACCTTTTCCGCGTTCTGATCCGTCGTCTCTGTCCAGATTGGATCCTCTCTCCGTTGGTCCCGGGGTGGATCCAGCTCCTGTTTTAGGTCCTCTTCCGGCGTCGTACTACTTGGATCCCTTCGTGGATCCGACATCTCCCGGGCCAGAGCTTGTTGGACTTTCATCTGGACAGCTGGAGTGGTCATCGCAGCAAAATCTACCTCTCTCAATTCATACAATACCGCGGCAAACAGGGCGTAATCCTCGATGAACCGACTGTAGTAGTTCAAACTGCCCAAGAAGGATTGCATCGCCCGTAGCGACTGTGGGAAGGACAAATCGGCTAACGAAGACAGGTCCTTAGGATTCGCCTCCAATCCCTCCTTGGAAACTCGATGGCCTAAGTAATCCACCTTGCGCATCCCCCAATAGCTCTTTACCACACTGATAGAGAGATTCCACTTAGTACACGCCTCCAGTAGGGATGTCACTCTTTCGCACAACTGATCCCACGATTCCGCCGGGATTAGAATGTCGTCGATGTAAGATCTGCGTCCTAACACAGACGGGGTCCCGGGATCCCCTGGTTCCCCCGCTTCGAATGGATCCACTTCCGTATGGTCTTCCCCGGATCCACCCGTTTCGGGCTCCGGTATTCGGGTGAATCCATAGAGGGCGTTATCGATCAGGCGTTGGTAGATCTGGGGTGCGTTTTTCAATCCAAACGGCATCCGGTCCCACTCGAACCGGCCAAACGGTGTGATGAATGCGGATATCGCGCGAGCTCGATCCGTCATAGTAACCACCCAGAAACCACTGGCCATGTCTAGAGAACAGTACCAGAGTACTTTATCCAAATCTTCCAACAGCTCATTGGTTAGAGGCATCGGATACACCATCAATCGAGTCAGGCTGTTAACCAGCCGGGAATCAATGCACAGACGTATATTCTTCTTGATGATGATTGCCACCGGAGACGCCCACGGGGACGTTGAGAAGCTGATGATCTTGGCTTGCAGCAGGCCCTTAATCAGATCCGATAGTTTTTCTCGGAGCTGAGGTGCCACCTTCCGCACCCTTTGAGCGATCGGTTTCGCGTCGCTGACATCGATATCACATTTGACTCCGCGGGCAGCGGGCGGTAACGCATTACCTTTACCAATCAGCAGATGTCGGCTTTCCCAGATCTTCCGCCGTAGACGATCCACTTCAGCGGATTCGTTCGCCCCTGGATCCACTTGGACATCATCAATCGTGACCTCCTCTGTGGTCAGTGGTACCTCCGAGATCACCGTCATGCCTTCTCCAAGATCCTCGGCGTGTAGATCCCCGCCTTCACGGTAGCCGACTTGTTCATCTTCAGTCTTTGTCGGATCCACCCTTGGATCCAAGCACCGCGACTCTCCTTCCACCGTCATCCCTTCTGTTTTCGTGGGGTCGGGTATCCTGGTACTGAAGAAGCCACCTTTTGGATCGACTTGATCCTCTGGTGGGTTTACCCACGAAGGTTCCTGTTTAGCTAGTGTGGCCACTCTCGACAAGGATCCAGGCAATTTATCCAATGGAAAGCTTGGATCCACTTGTGGGTCAGCGGGATCTGGCGGTCCAGAGCTTCAGCCCTCTGCGATCCTTCATCCACCGACCCTGTGTT